GGGCAGGAGGTGCTCCAGACACGGGGAGCTGTGGCCCCTGCAGCCCATGGTGCAGACCATGGGGGAGCAGCTGTGCCCCTGCAGCCCATGGTGCAGACCATGGGGGAGCTGTGGCCCCTACAGCCCATGGTGCAGACCATGGGGGAGCAGCTGTGCCCCTGCAGCCCATGCAGGACCATCGGGGTGCAGAGACGCCCCTGCAGCCCATGGAGGAGCCCATGCTGGAGCAGGTGGATGCATGAAGGAGGCTGTCACCTCGTGGGAGGCCCAAGATGGAGCAGGGTCCTGCCAGGGACCTGCAGCCTGTGGAGAGGGAAGCCCACACTGGAGCAGGTTTTTCCTGGGTAGGACTTGTGGCCCCTGTGGGGGACCCACATCAGTACAGCTCATTCATGAAGGACTGCACCCCATGGAGGAGTGACCCACGGGACAGCAGTCTGGGAAGAACTCCTGCCCAAGGGATGGACTCACGCTGGAGAGGTCCTTCAAGGACTGTCTCCCATGGGAGGGACCCCATGGGAGCAGGGGAAGGACTCCTCTCTCTGAGCAGTAGCAGAAACAACAACTGACTGCAACCCACATTCCCTGTCCCCCTGCACCACTGGGGGGAGGAGGGAGAACATGGAAGGAAGGAGGGGTGGGGGGAAGGTGTTTTTAAGATTATTTCTCATTCTTTGGCTCTTATCCTGTTAGTAATAAATTTAAGTACTGTCCCCACTTTGAGTCTGTTTTGCCTGTGAAGGTAATCAGTAAGTGACCTCTCCCAGCTGTTATCTCAGCTCATGAATCCCTAGCTGTTTTCTTTTCTCTCCTCTGTCCAGTTGCAGAGGGAGAGTGAGAGTGGCTTTAGTGGGTACCTGGCATCCAGCCAGGGTTAACCCACTAAAGACACCCTCCAGGTGCTGGAAAGCAATGAAGGGAACTGCAACTTTACCAGAGAGACAGCCAACTTCTAGGCTGCTCCATTTCTTCTGAAGGACTAGAGTAGGAACCTTTGTGGATCCACAAGATCTTGCAAGAAAAGCAGATATTTTCAACCAGCTTTTGTTATTTTTCAAAATACACTTATCTATTAATTATTTCGTGCTGTATCAACCTCCCAGAATTCTTTTTACCCCACTTATATTACAGATTACAGATATAGGGACTACATGGCACCAAACACTTTTGAAAGTGACACCTTATATTTTTATGGACATGTAAATATATGAGGGATGTTGTCACTGTGATAGATAGAAATTATAAAAAAACCCCAAGGTTCTAGACAGAGATTATTATCACACAGTTGCTTTGTGAAGAGCAAATATTCAATTCCTTCCTCAAATCTGAGAAAGAAGCACTGACACCCATACTAAATCCAGGCTAGGAGCAAGGGTTCTGAGCCCTTGGTCCCCCCAACATCAGTATCAGTGCTGTGACTGCTGTAGTCACCCAGCAGCACAAATTTGATCTGACTCAGACGTGGGCACATGATTGCAGTTCTCTTGTGTTAGTCAGACACTACAGAGCTGTATTCTTGTTTGCTGGCTTTGTGTCAAGGGAGGAGGCAGGGGCAAGATGCACTGAGCTGACTCAACAAAGATTTCTGAACAAGGACCCACCAGCAGCTCAGCCCATGCAGTCTATAGCTATGGCATTTTGGAGTGGACTTCAGAAACCCTCAGCCCAGCTGCAAGCTGTTGGCATATCAATAACACCATTGACTTAATTTGCTACTGAGTTTTGAGATATAGGTTGTTAGCACCTGCAGAGCAGAAAACTGTGCCAAAAGGACAGAGGAGGGGTCATCAGCCTTATGGAAGAGCAGGAGGACTGAGCATCTATAAGCTACCAAAAATAGAGGGATCTGCCAAGAGTGGTTACAAGTAAAATAAGCATTTTTATTTGTAACTCACAATCATAGCATTGATATTATGATTCTCATGCTCCTTTCATGCCTCTCTGAGAGCTATATCTGACGCTGAAAATATGATTGTTCAACTGCAACTGGAGGGTTCATAGTTGCAGTCCTCATAACCAGCAATCCTTTTAATGCAGTGATCTAGCACTGCCATACTGTCTCTTCCAGATGCAGTATTTTCCCCTGTGTCAGGATCAAGCGTCTGTCCTCTTGTTGGCACCACTGGACCACAATAACATCTGGCTGAAGCCCTGAGCCTTCAAAGATGGACACACAGTGTGTGGTCAATATGATAAAGGCTTTTAGTGTTCTGTCCACCCTTAGGCTACCTCCTTTTGTTACAGTGAAACAGACTCTTTGCTCATGTCAAAAACACTAATTTCAAGAGAAAGATGTGAACATATACTGGTGGAGAAGACTGGGACTGGCCTTTCTTTCTCATTCCTCCTCCACCACAGCATTGCTAAAATGTTTATTACTTTGGTGTCCACCTGCTGACCTATAATAGTATAAATTTGGACTAAGCCGAATTTTACAGTTCAACAAATACAGAATGTTTTTTAAAGTCACACTTGGCCAGATGCAACGTCTGGAAAACATCAGTCCAAAATTTATCATAACTGAAATAAAACGAAAGCATAATTTAGCCAGATTCAACATTACTCAATGCAGTGGAAAGTACTGCTACCAAAGCCTGAATCTGCTGCCCTTTTATGAATTGCTCTCTGCTGAAGACTATAAATTCTTGATCAGATGTTCTTTCCTGAACTGTAAAATAGAACAAGTCAAGTTCAATCTAGCTAAGCAAGAGCAACATTTACTGAAATCAGAGAGATTTAGAGCAACAGGGTTCTACAAATCAGCTGTCCTAGCACTCACAACTTGTCATACAAGAGCTGATAAAATCTTCAGTACAAACGGTTATTTGGAAGATTAAATCCTTACCCTGTGGACATGGATCCTTCAAAAGCATTAAACTACTCGGAAAATTGAGGGGACACATTTTTTGCAGGTACTTATGTAGTCACTTTTCTACCTCATTACACAGCTAAATACCTTTGAAAATGTAATCTTCAGTCATACTCTCAAAGGAGATAGATTTTTAGAGGTGCACAGATGGCCAGGAGGTTTACAAGGTGCCTAGTTGTTTAGTTCACAGTAAAGTGGATGAGAGTTAAGGGTCTCATATAAAACCACGTTAACCTGCCTAAGAAACACAGCCCCTAAATCATGTGTCTTGTTAAAATCGGTAAGGTTGGACCTCTTGCAAGCTCTCAAAGCTACTCTTTGGCTTTCCATGAGGTAGTGCCCAGGCAGCCAGCAGGAGTGCCTGATCACTGGAAACAAGGAGGGGAGAGGTGTCAAGCCTGAACCAGCCTCCAGACAGAACTGGACTGTCAGAACAGAGGTCTGGCAACAGCAGGGAACAGACACTCCATAAAAAAACTGACATTAAAATAGGCCAGTCCAGACCTTCACAGAGACACTTCAATCATATCTGCACTGTTTTAAGCAAGCCGTGGGTTTGCTTAGACCATTTGAGAAGGTGTTTTTCTTTAAATAGCAACTTAGGATGAGAGCTGCCACTTCCAATTTAATCACCGTTCTTTAATACAGCCTCATGCTCTGCAGCTGGATAATTAACCTTGATATTCATTTGGACTTCAAAACACACAATTCCCATTGCTGTCAATTAGCTCTCAATGTCGAGTATGTGTTGATAGAAGATTTTTGTGTGACCCTGGCAATATGGCATTTGGGAAATTTCAGTCCTTCACAACTAACTCTAACAATTTTTAGAATGGGGAGTGACATTCACAGAATCTCAGAATGGTTGAGGTTCTAAGGGACCATTGGAGGTCAATTAGTCCAACTGCCCCTCTCAAGGAGGGTCCCCTGGAGCACTTTATTCAGGATTGTATCCAGGCAGATTTTTATTATCTCCTGGGAAGGTGACTCCTCAACCTCTCTGGGCACCCTGTTCCAGTGCCCGGCCACCCTCACGGTAAAGAATTTCTTCCTCATGTTCAGGTGAACTTCCTACGTACCAGTTTCTGCCCTTTACCTCTTGTCCAATTGCTCAGCACCACTGAGATTCATGAATTCGTCACTGGATTGAGTTCATAAAACAAAAGAGATGTACATTAGGGTTTACCCTACTTTCTGTTCTTACAACAGTGAAGCTTTCTAAAAGATCCTCCAGAAAATCTTCAAACCTTCTTGTTATCCTGGTCTTGTACAGCTCTGAGCAAATGGAAGATGCCTCTGTCTCAGAGCATTCAGAAACTACCATACTTTTTAACACTAAGATACAGCTGGAGGCAGGGTTATAAATGATTGTTACACAACAATCTTTGATACATGAGGCCATACAATAAACACTGCAGTATGAAAATGGGACAAAATATGAGAAGGGCCAGCGGCACTTTTTTCCCCCACTGATTTCTTTGCATTTATGATACAGAGTTACAGCTTATTGGTAACAAGATTAAATTAGTGGGCAGAAGGAAGTTTGGATCAGACTGTTTTCCTGATATCCCACTGTGGGTCGCGTTCTGCTAATAAGTGTTAACCCGGCAATCAGGCAAACATTCACCTTGAGAAATGAACAACCTTAATCAGGGCTCTTAAAGCAGCCAGAAAAGGCAACAGCTAAATTGAACTTGGCTCAAATGCAACTGTTTTTCTTTTAAATATTGTTCTTCCTCTCCTATGAGAATGGGAGATAATAGCATAAGTGAAACATTCTTGTACCAAATGTCAGGAGCACCTGCAGTCCCTTCCAGGTTAGAAACTGTGTCTTGCAACTAAGAAGGAATAGCTGATGCTCAATTGAATGCTTTTGCAGAGGTTAACTACAGCCTTTTGTGAAGGTTCCTAATGTAAGCCAAATTTGACCTCCATAATTTTCAAAGGACTTTACCTCATCTGCTAAGTAAAAATAGCAAAAAAAACCTGAGGGGAAAAAAAAGGGGAAAAAAAAAAGAAATATCAGTCTGTTGTGCTTTCCCCTGGATTGGAGAATGACATCAACCTTTGAGTCTTTATCTGAAATAGTCTGACAGTATCAAAAACACTTACTATTCCATTTTCTACACAGGGTCAACATTACGAAGAGGAAAAACGGGCTTTGAGCCATGAAATAATTGCACTCAATAATCACTTAATAGAAGCCAAGGTGACAATAGATAAGTTGTCAGAAGACAATGTAAGTATTTAATTATGGATATATCTTGAGACTATATTTAGAAATAAATTAGGTCTTGCACGTCCCATGAAATTATAGAATAATTTGTTATTGTTTATGTAGTGTAACGTGTCACCTCAACAGTTAAAATTTCTTTGTTTGTTCCCATCATTTTGTAATTCAACTCTCGTTATGCAATGAAGTTGTGGTGAGACTTTTGACATTTTTTCCTTATGTAACCTGAAACTGATGAAAAGATACTCTAAGAAACGGGAATATTCCCACATTGATTTTGCCATCAGTACAGCAAATTGGTGCAAGTACATGCTCAGAGCTGTTGCAGGGGCACATGTATGAAGTGAGGACTCCTCATAAGGCTTTTAGGCACAGTGTGAAGCCCTACATTTCCTGCAGTTCCTCTGATCTTTTGGTCTTTGCTCACCAAAATGGGATGCCCAGCACAAGTGAGCTCTATTAGCAGAAGGTAGGATTGACCCAACTTGGTCACTCAGATCATTGCACAGAGGAGGAGGAGGCAGGTTTTCCCCAGTAGTCATTAACGTGGAACAATTTATCTATCTCTATGTGGAACAAAACAGGGAACAACTAGCAATTTTCACTCTGCATCTCATTAAACACTGTTGAAAACTGGCATGCGTACTGCAGCTGGCAACAAAGCTCATTAAATCCTTCCAGGAACAAACCTACAAAGACAGCAAAGAAAGGAAGATTGTAGGCATTTAGTTCATTATTGTGGCATTCCCTCAACACTTAATAAAAAATTCATCTACAGAAGACATGTTTCTTTTAGCACTTATTTTTTCAGTATCTTACGTTCAATCTTCCCGTATTTCATCTGAACTCTAAATCACAGCAGGGAGCATTTGATCCCATTAAAATGCCTGTTGGTATGAATTGTGCCTATGCAATTAACAACTTTCCAATGGAAACAGAGTTCATAATCTGACCCTTTACTTTTACAAAAGTTGAGTTGAAAGAACAGATATTACATAGCTCTAACAGCTGTAACCAACGGAGCATGGTAAATGTAATGGGCTACATTTAGGTTTTAGAAGCACAGGTATACATCCAGACTAACGCAGCTGCAATCAGTGGAGATATTTCAAAGTTAAAATAGGGGTGGGAAAAAATTGTCAAACTCTCCCTGTAAGTATGCATGCATTTACACTACTTCATGGAGTCAGGTTTGAACCCACATTTGAAGTGTTTTCAGTTTTCATAGTTTCACTCTGAGCATTACAGTATGGTCCAGAGGTCTCAAATAACAGTACCACTTCTTCAGACTTGAGGTGAGTTTGCAGACAAAATTCTGCCCTTGCAGGACTCAAGGAAATGGCATGAATCTGAGTCAGAGGAGGTTTAAGTTGGATATCAGGAAAAGGTTTTTCACCCAGAGGGTGGTTGGGCACTGGAACAGGCTCCCCAGGGCAGTGGTGACAGCACTGAACCTGACAGAGTTCAAGAAGCATTTGGACAACACTCCTGGGCACACAGTGTGGCTCTTGTGGATAGTTCTGCGCAGGGTAATAATAAAACTAATAAAAGTAAAGGTTAAATTCCAAATTTTAAAGAAACGAACTATGAAACAAACCACTAGTATTATACCTAATAAGTAGAGACAGTGGTAAACTGAAGAATCCATGGAGAGAACATGTTTTTGTCTTGGCAATCTTTCTTCCTTCAATTACATTTCCCCTCATTCTTCTGACAGAAATGTAAAATGACGCTTTTGATGCAAAAACATGTTTTAAATTATTGGAAACACTTTTGGCATTAATTTCTGCTTATTGTTCTAGTTGCCACAGATATGGCTAGTTTCCATTCAGGCAAACATTAAAGAAGAGAAAGTCACTCCAGTCACATGGCTTGGCCCAGCACACTGAGAACAAAGTACACGTGGCACATGTAACTCACATGTAATTTTTCTGTAGTAATTTTTAAAGCTGCTAAAAATAAAGTGTCAGAAATGCTTTTTGTACTCTCCATGACAACCACTTCACAGAAACAGGAACACAGCTTTTAAAGAAAGGACTAGATTTTGGAGTGATACCATTTTTGTGTGCCTAGTAATGCCATATAGGACTTGCGGTACCTACACATTGTACAGCAGTATATTTTGGGTTTCACGTGCATGTAACATGTCAAAATCACACGCACACGCAACAGACTTTGCTTCCAAATTGAATTATTGGGTTCTTACAGGAATGAAAATAGTGTGTACTAATATAAAATTTAAGACCCGCATAAATTAATATGTCTCCCCAGTTTGTTTCAGGGAGAAGTGGCATGTATAAAAGCTCACACAGACACAGAAAAAAATTCACAAACCAAGAGCATCTAAAGGCCCTTGAATATGAAGATATAATGAACTAATGATCGTAGGAAAACTATCCACATCCTTCATGGGCTCACAGGAACATCTTGTTTCATCTGTTATTACAGAACACCTTAAAACAGTATTTCTAAACAGAGGGAATTTCCTTTTCATAGAATATTTCTTTATCAGCTTTTTAAAAAATACATGGACCTGTAAAAATTGGCAGGCAATAAAACTGTAACATTAAGACCAGAGAAAATCCAAATCATTTCAGTATTCAACACCTTTTTTCTATAAGCATGTTCTAATTTTTACAGATTAACACAGCCTAGTGCCCATAATACCTTTATGCTTTGTATATCTCATCTCTGCCCGCCTACAAATTCAACTTCTGAAACCAACTCTGTTTTTAATGCAACTACATAAGGAAAAACAACATACAACTCTTACCTTCAGGGACTCAAAGGTACTGGTTGAAGGATACAGTTACACATTCATGTGTGCTAAATTAAATTGGGTGAAGGGCAAATCTGTGTACTGAATTTTCCCATTAAATACACTGTGGGAGCCATTCAATAAGGAGATTGTATAAGCAGCTTTCTTAAATTCTCTCCTTCTCTGTGTGGAATTCTCATGGTAATTTCTTGCCCAGTGAAAGTATTCTGTTCTGGATCATCAAATATTTGCAGTGAGATTTAATATATTTCTATAGCTGCATTCTGCAAGATATTAAAGGAGTCAGGAACCAGAAAGAAAATATCATAAGGAGACAGAGGCTCCCTTCTTAAAAAAACAACATAATGTATATTTCTGTAATGAATTCTCCCACAGTCTCATAAAATTATTTTATCACTTTCTACAGTAGTATTTTAGTGCTGATCTTGATAATACTCAGCAGAAATTGTCTGTTCTTGAATTTTCTTTTTTGTTTAAAAGATCACGTTTCTTTTAGCCTTCACAGTACCATGCACGTTAACAGTAAAAAGTCCACTTCCTAATGGTAAGTATCCATGTTCTGAAATGCAGACAGCTGTTCTGTTGTAACAGTTCTCAAAAAAATTTTATTCTTACCAATTTTATCAGCCCTCACCGAGCAAAGGGGCAAATATCTCTGGATCATGCAAGAAACACATCTTAATGTATTTAAAAGTTTAAGTATGCTCCAAATTTGCTCAAAGTCAATTTTTAAAAGATTTTTCAGACATGGGACAAAGGCTGAAAGCCACAAGCTCTTTGCGAACTTTAAATAAGAGGCTATTTTTTGGTTTTTTTCCTAGGAGCTCTATAGGAAGGACTGCAATTTAGCTGCTCAGTTGCTCCAGTGCAGCAAGAATTACGACAGGGCACATAAACTCTCAGAGGTAATGTGACCGAACTTCTTCAATATTCAAAGAAATAAATATTGTATGGAAAACAGGTTATTTTGCATGTATCAGTTCCAGAACTTGTTTGCCCTTAAAGTTTTTATCTCCCCACCCCCTGCCTTTAAACCACAGGAGGGCCCGAGCACCTGCTACTGTTCTGTGCAGCCTAGGGAGGTGCTGACAAAATCACAGCCAGTGATGGTACTTGAAGATACTCTCTTCCCCAAAACCCCTCCTATCCAGTGGAATGGGCCTGCACTGATTGCCTGAAAAACAAAGGTTTTAGAAAAACCAAAGAGCTGCAAACTCTAGAATGCAAAATGCTGGGGAGAAGCAGTGGGGTGAGAGTAGGGAAATGACAAGCTACAGGCGTCAGAGATTCTGATATAATCAATTTTCCTCCTGAAGCTATTTTCCAGTCCAGCTAGTTTCCAAACCTGAATTTTAAAATGGACTGACAGAACAAATAGCTTTTTCTAAAGAAACCAGATCACTGAATGATTGATTTCCAAGGTGTAAACTCTAATTAATAATCCTTGCTTCCAAGGAAACTAGGTTTGAGAAACAGGTTCCTTAAAGGGAAGGTAAATATTATCTTAGTGAACAAGACTGTCTTTAGGGATACAGGCCCTACACAAACCTTCCTTACATATATTGTTTCAGTGAAGGTCACAGGGAATAGCCCTTCCTTCATCAGTCCCATCAAGTCAACATTCCCCCAAATGGTCTCTCTTTTGCAATTCTCCAATAGAATAATGCAAAATTAAATGTGGAATGTATAAACCATTTCTACGTCAGTTGATGGCTTCAGTGCACTAAACAACCCTGGTAAATAAAGATGGAGCAACATTCCTCTGTTAAATGGGCAATGATTTTCTGGAACGGAGACAGAACTTCCATATTAACCATTATCTTGCTTATTTTTTCCTATTACCTGACTTTCCTTAGCAAGAATTATCATCACTAACATTACTAACATTACTAACATTAGTAACATTACTAACATCTGAAAGCATCCTATCTGTTAGCAGTAATTAGGACCTTAAAAGTTCTTAGTGGTTCACTTGCAGAGAACTATCACAAATGTGGGATCTCCCCAGAATTTCCCAGACTGTCAAACACTCAATTAAATGGGCAATCTCCACTCATAAGTCCAACTATTTTTAATTTAGCAAGTGTGAATGCACTGTCACAGCCAATAAATTCCTTACAAATGCAAATATTGCCTGATAAAGTATTGTATGTTATCCAGAAACCTAAACTGTAGTACAGTATAGTAATGTGACAGCAATATCATTTTAGTAATTCTAGTTTCCAGTGGAATACCCAGAAAACAATGTTCTTCTTAACACATTCCATAATCTTAATAATGTATCTAAAATAGATCAAACAGTAATGCTACAGGATACTGTAGCTGCCTCATACAGCATTTTCACATTAAATTAACTGTATTTCTTTTCCTCATTTCTGTGGCAATTTACACCAGGCCTATTTTACAACCTGTTTATTCAATCTCTGTTGCATCTGTACTTACTGTGACTAATACTGCTGTCTGCCAGCAGACTGGCAATATCATATTCTTTATTTCCAATGGAAGACATATGAGCTAATTAGCAACATAATGATTAATCCAAAATATCCTGGAAGGTTCTGATCATTGAAAAAACACCCTATTTCACTACATGCCATGTTTGGAATACACTGAGTTTGGAGGATTAAACCAGTTTTAAAAACTTCCCAGTGAAGCTAAAAGAGGAACTCCATTTCTTATACAATGTGAGACCGGGACAAGAAGCAGGCACTGCAAATTTCCTTTGCCAAAAGTAAAGTGAAAGGGGACAGCTTCAGTTATTTGTAGGGTTTTCTCCTCTAGAGAAACAAAGTTAAGGAGGGAGTGAGGTCATAAGGTTAGCCACTATTTATTTTGTAAAGAGGAATTTGATTTCTAGTTATAAAAAGAAAGTGCAGAGTAAATCAGAGTTCAGCCAAGCACTCACGGAATAAATTCCTAAGTGGCATAAATCAACACATATATCAAAGGAGCTATCATAATCACAAACTCAAAACTTATTCCAAACATGAGTTTTTCTGATTTCCAGCAAGAAATCTGAGACACAACCATCACACAGCTCTGTCTCATATTGCTGTCAGATCATTGATAGAGATCTGAAATGAGCAAGGAAGATAGAATTTGACTGGAAAGCATGTGTAGTGATACTTCAGTAGACCTTACCTACCAGACTTTTGGATTGCATCAAGGAATGTGGTCTCTATCTCTTTTGGTCCACATGACAGAATGGCAGGTGGAACCACCCACAGAGCTGATCCTGACTTTCTCAAAAAAACTATGTGATTTCTGATGCATAACAGACATTGATTAATTCTGTCATGGGAATCATAAATTCATGTAAGAACATGTTGAGCCTTATGTGGATGGTTGATCTGACAAGCAGTGTCCAACTGATGGGGCAAGGAAGCTGGTTTGATTTGCTTCTTCCCAGCACAAGAACACTCCTGTCACAGCAGCCAGTACCACTTTAAGTGTCAGTGAAGTCAGCTTTTCCACCTCTTCAAACAGCATTGTTTATCAAATGTGAAGCCGGAGAGCAGGAGCCAATTTGGCACTGAATTGGAGGCAAGATGAGCTTGAGGAAAGGCAAAAGAAGAACTGAAAATTCTGATCTCATCCTCCTCTTTCTTCACCCCCCTAGAAACCTTTGCACACCCACACTCCAACTGCAAATCTCACCCAGGCAGACAGTCTGGAAGTATTGCTCTATGTTTTAATTCCCTACCTGCCTTTTTAAGATTGTTGTTTACTACGTACTTTACATCAGTAAAGTAAACCTGGCAGTGCTGGGTTAATGGTTGGACTCAATGAGCTTAGAGGCCTTTTCTATGATTCTGTGATCATTCCTATCCAACCTGAATTAACTTGGAAGGAAGCTTTTCAGTTTCACAGTGTTGTCCATGAGGGAAAGCAAATGAATATTTCCAAATATCAGGTAGATAAATGAAAGTCATTCAATTACATATGATTCCAAAAATGTACAAAGACTGTGGCCCTCACATTAGCAGAAGAACCATGTATAGTGAGTTATGCCATGTCATAAACAGCACTCAACTCACACCAGTATTGATATGTACCCTTTTCTCCTTTCTCTTTTGTCATCTCTTTGTGTTATAGTTGCCATCTGACTTTCAGGAAAGAGTCAGCATCCATCTGGAAAAACATGGGTGCAGCCTTTCTGTCCCCTTGTGCCACACTTCTTACGCAGACACCATACCCACTTGCGTCATTGCCAAAGTGCTGGAAAAACCAGACCCAAACAGCTTGTCTTCACACTTGTCAAGCCCTTCTACAAGGGATCTCAATTTTCAGGACTCTGCCGGAAAAGTCGGACAAAGGCCACAGTACAAGTCCGATATCTACTGCAGCGACACAGCCCTTTACTGCCCCGAGGAGAGGAGGAGGGAGAGGAGGCCAAGTGTGGACACGCAAGTGAAAGACGTGGGGTTCCTGCGGTCCCAGAACTCCACGGACAGCACTGTCGAGGAAGATGGATTCCATTCCAGTTTCTCTCATGAAGCCTTCCCAGAGTACATTACCTCTCTGCCAACCTCCAGCTCCTATTCCAGCTTCAGCGTCACCTCCGAGGAGAAGGAGAACGCCCAAGCCAACACTCTGACAGCCTCTCAGCAAGCAATCTACATGAGCAATCGAGACGAACTGTTTGAAAGAAAGTCCCCTGCAGGTTATGAGCACCAGGGAAGCCCCAGGTTTGCCAAGCCCAAACCTGCGCAGCACATGGAGCTTGCGGACGACAACGAGAACTCACCCACTTTTACCAGAACTCTGCCTCCATATGCAAATGAGCCTTTCCATTTCTCAGCCATAACACCACAGCAGGCGTTAGCAAATCAGAAAATGAGGAACGAGTGCAGGAGTACCCACCTTTCAGAAGAAGACTTGCCTGGGCGATGGCGGCAGTTGAGCGTGGAGGACATTGGTGCATACTCTTACAGGAACGCTGGCAGGCTGTCACCCTGCAGTTTTTCAGAGCAGTACTACAGCAGCCCTATTAAGAAGGGGGACAGCCGAACAAGCCCCATCTATGCTAGCTACAAAGCAGATAGCTGCTCCGAGGGAGATGATATCTGCCAAAGCAGACTTGTGGATTCTTGCTTCCTGAGAACAGACAGTGGTCTGAATATTGACATCAGCACTAGCTGTAAACAGGACAAATTGCCCACTTACAAAACTAAAGAATCAAGAGACCAAAAAAATGAAAGGATCACTGTCCAGTTATGCAGTAGCAAAAACATCGAAAACAGCCCAGTATTGAAAAGAGAATACGTGGATGTGAGCCCCAACAGCTCGGCAGAGTCGCTCAATCAGAGTTCAGTGGAGGCTTCAGAAATCCACCAGTCTTCCATGGATCAAGGAAGCCATTCGGGTATTCACAGCAAACAGCAGCAGTTTCAACGGACTGGGAGCACTGGTTTGAGTCGGAAGGACAGCCTTACAAAAGCACAATTATATGGAACCCTTCTGAACTAGGCATCTTCCAAAACGGCAATAAGACAACAAACAAAAGGAAGTAAAGAGCATTTGATACTTCTAGTGAACAATAAGGTTCTAAGAAACAGGATTATTATAAAGTATATATTCATAATGGTACTATATGTTTAAAACAAAATCTCTTCAAAAACGTTATACAGCACTTTTCACTTAACATCCTTTCCACATGGGAGATCGTCCCCTCCCCTCTTTTATAAACCTGAAATATTTTTATAATCAAAATGGTATTTATTAGACTATCTTAAGCTATTTGAGCAGAATTCTTTTCCCTTCAAGCAGGTTTCTTATTTATTTTTGTGCATGAGGCCATCTGTGCCTAAATTCTTGGAGAAAAAGGGTAAAATCATGATGGCGGCGATAAAAAAATAAATCCACCTGATAAAATACCATAAAATGTCATGTGAAATCAAAACAAACAGGAATGGTGAATTTGAAGAAGTATATTTTTTAACAAGAATGGAATTGTATCTTAAGTTATTTCATAAAAATGTATTTATGAGTGACTAATGTATGCACAAAGTGATACTAATATTTTGTTCTTTTAATCCACTGTGTTTCTGCTTTCCTATTTTTCCTTGTATACTACCTCAAAAGTAATTGAGGGTTTCTTTGTCACATTTTCTGTAGGCTTGCATTTATATTGTCTAAAATGCATGCAGTGTCATAATTAATACTGTATTTTGCATAACTTAATAAAAGACACCAGTGGATCTATTTTGGGGTTATTTTTTCCCTTCATTAAAATAGACCCTGGACAATAGAACATGGAATTTCTTGGAGTGGCACCAGTCCAGCAGAAGTTAATGACTAAAGCTCCTGAATTAGATTGCTTTCTAAAGAAGTCTCTTTTCCTCTGTAAGCTCTAGAAATCTGGTTCACAGTCCATGGCCTCTGGGCGTGGAAGGATGACTTCTCATCAGCCTGTTGAAAGTAAGCAATGAAAAAAAATTGTTTATCCACAGGCTTGAATTCACTAGACAGGGTTCTGTGCACTGAAAGAAAACTGAAAAGTACTGGAAAACCAGTGATGTGAACTCCTCCTCCAGTACTCACATACTTGACACAATCTTTTAGGTCTTTAGGACTGTTACATCTCACAGTCGCCTTTTCCTCATATGTAGCTTGGTATTTCTAACCTATTGTTCTAAAGCCTAAGGAAGGTCTGGTCTTCTGTGGCCTATGGGAACTTTACCCCTAAGTCTAAGAAGCTGTGGTTTTACCTGTACTTTGTGCATTTCCTCCACTGATTTTTCTGTTTCTCACCGTTTCATCAGTAAGGAGTGTACAACTTGGAGAAGGGAAAGAGCAAAACGAGAAGAGGAGAAAAACAAAAAGGAGAGAAAGGGAGATGCTGTGGATTTTCTTCCTGGCTTCAGTATTGCTGTTTGGTAAGAGGCAGAATAAGGCAATAAATATTTAGTAACTCTTTTAAGTCACGTTCAGGAAACACATATCGTATACTTAATATACTGACTCTTGACAGCTTATGTATGGGATAAGTCCTTGCTTAGTGAAGTATGTGGTAGTAATCAGTAAGATTGCTGTGGAAATCTAAACTAGTTCCTTATAAAGCTAAAATAATGATTTATCATTCAATAGCTATTAAGAAAATATACATTTTCTGCTGATTCTCTGCAAGCAGTTACCTGGCAATTAACTATGAACCAGGACTACAGAACTGCTCATTTCCTACATAAGTATCTTCGATCATGGAGCCACGGATTCAATGCATCTGGCACGAGCAACTCCCATTGCTCTCCGTATTCTTCTTGTGTAATATAAAAATTTGACCATTACTGATGTGTACAAGTACTTGCTGTGCTGTTTGGAAGATCACGCATCAAGTCCCTACAGTTCCTCTGAGATCTGTAGCAGCACCATGGAGAACAATGGTAGCTAATAATATCACACAGGTAAGGCACAACATAACTCTAAAGTGATGCTCATTTCAGTACAAAAGTTGTTACACATCTTGTGCTTTTACGTCCCCATACTTGCTCACAGTGAGTGTGAGTGGTAGGGCATGCCAAAAATAATTCCATGAAGTCGATAAAAAACACACAGAATAAAGTTTCCAAAGGCCAACTGCTTCTTACGGCAGGATGTGACCTGCAGTAAATAGGCTTGGAGATCCAGAAGAACTGTTATTTCCCATTCAAAACACTAAGACAGAAAATAGGTGTGAAAAAACTTCACTGTTGACTCATTCAGGTATATAAAATTTAGACAATCCCTAAGGCAAGACATTCATTTCTCTGGTCAATGAATACAAGGATTTGTATGCAAGAGGTGAAAATTAACTGTTATCTCACCTAAAAAAATATATAAGCTATGGAACAGTAAATTGTGTCATTTATGAACTGGAACACAGTGTCAGACTAATCCTTTTATAATACAGTTCATTAGCTGACCTAAAGTGCTATTTTGGTAATTACAGAAAATTACATTTCTGCTAGATGTTATATATCTGATTATTTAATATCCTGTTCTATTATATCCTTTCATACTACTACAGTTTCAGAGTCTGCTTCTGTGCTTCACTTGACTCTTCTTCTCAGTTTATGTGCACTAATATGTAGACTAAAAACAGCCTTTTCAGCCAATTAGTAGTGGGGTTTTTTTTAAAGAAGCCTGTAACTTTGTAACATTTTTCTGTAATGAATTCTGTTACAGAACAATATCTAACCCTGAAATTAATTACAACTGAATCAAAATGGCTATAAAAATTCTTCAGCTTTAATGTATTGATTTTAATTTCTCCTTAATTAGAAAAACTGACAGTAAGTTTGTTAATTTTCTATGAACATGAGAAAAAAGGTTTTATAATTCACCTGAATTTTCTCGGATTTACAGATCTACCTCTATCTCGCATTGGCCTTTTTAGCCACCAGCACACTTGTAGCAAATGTGGTTAGAATCCTTCCCTAATCTTCGTTTGCGAAGCCTAGTCGTGATGATGATGACAGATCTACCTATGGTTTGGTTTAATTTTTCTAAATAAAAATAACTTTGAAAGATTATAATAAAGGATTTATTCCTCAAGTTTTGGGGTTAATTTTGTCACATTCAATTTAGATTTATTGAGACAACCACAGAGAGAGATTTGAGTCTTTGACTCTACTCTTACGTTCATTTAATGACAAGTGACTCCAGAAATGCAAAACAACAGATCTTCAGCCAACGTGCCACAGACCCCTCCACTCCAGTGGCTGAGAATTTGCCATGAAATACCTTTTCCCAAGGACATTTATATCCAATTTTCTCTTAAGCATTATAAGAATGCCAAGGCGTCTCCATGTTGCCAAAAACACCTCATTTTTCCAAGTGACATCAAATTCTGCATGCAGAGTTTGTAGGTAACTATGGCAGGAATTTTGCTTTGATTAATTATTTCATTTGCCACGAATAAGAAGAGAAAGGGTGAGAAAAAGAAGTGGCAAGTCTCCAGCAATGCAGTGAAGCAGAAGATGAAAAATGTCATTTTAATGAATGAAAACCGAAAGCAGAATGTACATGATACAGAACACTGATCGGGGGAAAAACAAAGAGGGCTGAAAGAGATCAGAGGGAGGCATCTCAAATCAGGTATTAAAACAAACAATAAAAAATGCTACCAAGGATGTGGAATACAATTCACCAGGAATAACAGTGCAAAAGTATTATGAAATGCATATTTTTAAATATTTTCTCACTCCAAATTAAGCTTAAAAAAAGGTGCAAAATCTCAATAGTTATAAATAACGCATGTTACTTTCTTTTAAACTTTTTAGAAGTCTAGAAATAGCTAAAATTTCTAGGTTTAAATCATGACAAGCCATAATATAGGTAATTTTCAATTCAACAGTTTCTAACTTCTTCACCCAAACTAGGAAATTAATCAAACTAATTCTTTCCCCTTCCAGCACTTTTAATTAAAAAGAATTTTCACTCCATAATCTATCATAGAGTGTGATTATACAGCTACTTATATTAATTTCCCCTTGTTTAATTTTAAAGTACTAATTGTCATCCTTTGGACATCTATATAAACCTTTTATCCCCCACTCGTATTTAAAACCTTGTAATCCTTACAGACTATTATTATATATCTCCTTGAATATTGTTTTAATTGTGCAGATGTAGTCTTCTCAATTTTTTCTTGGAAGACACTCCCTTCAGGACACTGTTTTCAACTCCTCTCCAAGAAATACCCTCCTCACCTTTCTTCTGCTGAACACCATAATATTTTTTATTATCAACACTGAGTTTTTTAAAACAAAATGCAGTACAAGGAAAGGAGGGGACTATGCAGATTGGACCAACTGCATGTGTGAGGCTCCCAGCACTGAAATTCTCAAGTCATGGGAACCCCACCTGAAGTTTTGCATGCAGGTCTGGGGCTCCCAGCATAAGAAGGGTATGGACCTGTTGGAGCGAGTCCAGAAAAGGCCACAAAGATGCTCAGAGGACTCGAGCACCTCTCCTGTGAAGACAGGTACAGAGAGCTGGGTTTGTTCAATCTGGAGAAGAGAAGGCTCCAAGGAGACCTTATAGCACCTTCCAGTACCTAAAGGGGCTACAAGAGAGCTGGAGAGGGGCTATTTAAAGGGCGTGTAGTGATAGAACAAGGGGAATGGCTTCAAACTGATAGTAGGCTTAGATTAGATATTGGGAAGAAATTGTTTACTGTGAGGATGGTGAGGCACTGGAACAGGTTACCCAGAGAAGCTGTGGATGCCCCATCCCTGGAAGTGTTCAAGGTCAGGCTGGATGGGGCCCTGAGCAACCTGGTCTAGTGGAAGGTGCCCCTGCCCATAGCAAGTGGGTTGAAACCAGATGATCTCTGAGGTCCCTTCCAACCCCAACCATCCTATGGTTCTGTGAAGGCCTGCACAGAATTTCAGTTGCAAGTTTGTTAGGCTGTAATCTTTCTCCAAAAATCAGTAGATCTAAGGTTCCTTAGCACCAGGTTTTCTAAAGCTGTAACTCCCACAGAGCAGTTCCATTTCCAGCCTTAGAGATCTATGTCACTTTTTAGAACTTTTGACAGCACCTTTGTTCTAACAACAGTCCTTGGCGTAAGCAGCAGCTCCTAATGACCATCAGCCAGCCATGCTGATCTACATGAATTAAATCATGGCATGTTGTCTACATAGTCTACATTATCAGAAGTTTTTCATTGTTTTCCCAATATTTTCTCCGTGTCCATTTTAAAAACTTCATTGTTATAAAACCACTCTAGCAATTAAGTCATTTTGTAACAGCTTGTCCTTCAGTCCAGCTCTTCTCACATTATTTTCTCTTTGGTATTTTTTTTTTTTTGTATCAGCAAAGATATTTTAGGAATTGAGAGTTTTTGTTTAGCTGCAGCTAAAAAGAATAGTTTGAATATTCATAAGAATAGTTTGAATATTCATGCCATGAAAGGTTTTGCTGCTAGTGCAGTGGATGCACTTCCACTGATGTTCAGTCTTGCTCTTTTCACTCTCTACTTTTACACTTCTGTTCTCCAGAAAGATACACCTCTTTTTTCCCCCTCTCACTTGAAAAAACTTCAATTGCAATTCTCCACTTTCAGTGCAAGATCTTTTATAACACTTGGATCCAAGGGCTGTATCTGTAAAGATACAATTGTCACTTCTTGGTCTATCTAAATTCCTCCATACATGCTTTCTAAATTAATTAATACATGCTTGAGGAGAAACTTGACTTCAGGATTATGTACTTATGTGCTC